CTCCATGCATCATATAACTGAGCTGGCAAAGGCTGGGGAGAATGCACGTTCTAACTGGAGCTATTTTGTCAGATGGTGGGAACAGTAAGAGCGGGGGATGGAGCAGGGCGAGCATGCCAGGCTAGGGATGCAATGTACGGTGAGGATGGGCCCTATAGTGTCATAAGCGAGTTTGTCCTCCGGATGCTTTCTGAAACAGATCAGTGTATTTTTGAAGATGGAAGAGCCCTGAGAAACCTTTGCAGAGGAGTCTGAGGTAATAAAAACCAGCACAAAGGGATACAGAAAGGACAAGCGGAGACCACCGAGTCCCTCTGAGAACGGAATAAGGACTATCGGCGCTTTCTGCTGGGCAACAAACTCCACGCAGTATTTCTTGGTCCGTGTCAAAGGACTCATGCATACATCAGAGGGTTTGATGAACTTTCTGCTTCATGACTACATGCTGAACTATACATAGCATTCAGCCATACTGACTTTTAAACCCATCTTACTTTCTGTTGACTAGCCAAGCAAGCCCAACAAGCATAGGACGTTTATTGACCACAGTTTCTTGGTAGATGAAACCAGTAGAATATTGGTACCAATTCATAGGTTATCATGAGAGTAAGGGCTGATAGAACACAAAGCACACGGGAAGGACAGCCTCAGGTTACTGCTGGTGGCTACTCCAGAGAGGGTCTCCTGACCGTCTTCCTAGCCTTAGCCTTTTGCCTTTCTCCCGTTCCAGCCTAAATCTATTTGCATCCTCATTCTCCTCCCCTTAAGGGTCTCTAACTCACCACATGAAAGGCAAGCCCGTGTCCACGTGTCCCAGTGAATTTGCTGTGCAGAAGTCCATTAGCAGGAAGTGCTGGGAAAACAAGATTGCACGAGAAGCCGGTATGGCTGTGAAGTGCTTCCTTGCTGTGGCCCAGATCAAAGGGTGGCAGGGACAAGTGGAAATACCAGGTCGACAGGAGTGACTCGGAACCCGTGTCATTAGCTCATTTTCTCTTTAACAGGAGGGGAAAGAAGTGGCTTTTTCCTTGTACATAAATTATATTTTAAAAATGTAGACTTTCAGTTTGAGATGCCATTTTTAGTATTGAGTTGCACTGGTTGGGATACATAAACCATCATCAGCCTCCTCCTCCTCTTCCCTACCCCTGTCCTGCTCATTTTTCAGTTGTCATTTACTTTTGTTTCTTTGAATCAGACTCATACTAGGCTTGCCTTCAATTTGTGATCCTCGGTCTCCAGCCCTCACACAGGCTGTGGTGATGGGTGAGTTGCCACCATGACTTACCTACTAGAAACTTCTAGCTAGTTTCGCTTCACCCACATCCACTGCCATCATATCTGTGTTGAGGACCTGAAGGGAAGAGTCAGATGCTGGCGGCTGTGACCGGAGGAGACTGTGCTGTCACCAGTTGTGGTTCTAGTTATCTACTGTTTGGAGATGTGGATTTCTCCTAGGGCCTGGCAAGTTTTGTGGCAGCCTAGAAACCAAGTCTGCAATGTTGTTCAGCAACGCAAGACACTCTTAAACTTCTAACCTTGGCAGGGTTAGATCTGAAGAATGATAAGTCCTCTTGAGCTTTTTTTTTTTTTTTTTTATTTTGCGCCAACCCAACTCCTACCCACTTAGACTTGAAAGTAGGACTTTAAGGTACTTTGCCACAGAAACCAGAAAGCAATCTTTAAATAGGCCCCAAAGAGCAAAAGCCTGCATTCTCATTAGCCTAAGTACTGAGTTTAGGTTCGCCCACACAAGAATGATATGATTAGAGGCAAGAGAAGGAGTCTCTGGTGTTGTGATGCTCTGCCCTGCGGGTAGTCAGTCATGGTCTTCTTCATCCCTTCCACCCTGGCTGGGCAGAGGTTCAAGGCAGAGCCAGTGATGAGCCTAGCCCCCCAAGTCTTCCTCTTTGATTAGGGATTGGGGGGGTTATGTGAAGGTCACCTAAAGGGCTGCCATCAGGGGACAGAAAGCGAGGCTGCTTTGCAATGGAAAGTGAATCCTTTTATAGGAGTTGTTTCGGTCATTCGGTTCTGTTTTTAGACACACGTGGGTTCAAAATTCTCCTTTATTATCTTCTAACTGGGGCTGGGGCTGGAAAAATTACTGCCAGCTCTGTTATCACTGTTTCCTTCTCTGTAGCTGGAGACACAGAGTCATACATGTATTTGCATACACGCACACACACACACACACACACACACACACACACACACACACACTTACACATTCACCCCTCCCTGCCACACACCACACAGTGTATGGCACGTCACATTTATTTCCTGGTCTTCAGACCAGCATTGTCTTGAACAGTGGTAAGTCCTACTGGAAGATGAGAATTTGTCTTTTGCAAAATGGTTTAACATATAGAGTCAGCAGAGGTTGTAGGTTTGCGACCTAAAGAGGGCGTGTGTTTGGGGGAAGGCTAATGTTGGCATGCTTTGAAGATAATGAATGCAGGTGGCTGACTGAAATACTGATCGTCCACGTCATACTAACTGCAGCTGGGTATCTTTGACGGTGTCTGAACTGAATGCCATGAAGGGACGAATCTACGAAACAAATTTGTACTCATGCCTCCTCTGCTCTAAACACTTTGCTGTGTTCTGTAGATGCAAAGGTCAGAGAGGTCAAAATGCCATTGCCAGGTAGCCTAGAACAGCATCTCTCAGGGAGCAAAGATTCTCAGCAGTGCTAGATTCCAGAATTCTTAATGTTTTTGTTTTCTGTTTCAGTAACAAATTTAAATGGCCATTTTTATTAATCATAGATTATTTATTGATTATAGTTATTTTTATTAATTATACACAATATGTTTTATATAACTATACAAATGTTCTATGGAAATAACCTCAGTGAATGATTTGTTTATTCAAAGATTTAAGATTATTATTATTCTTTTTTTATCTTAATGACTAGCAACATGCTTTTATATTCTCACAGTCCTCTGAAGATTTCTCTTATCCAGGGTCCAGATATTAGACTTGAGAAACACTGGCAGCAGAGTCTGAACTTTGTGCTCCTCAGCTCTAAGCTTGGTTTGTTGTCTTACCCAGGGTACTCATTGGGACCCAGCAGGCCTTAGAAATGCATTCTGAAACAGCATGCCTAGGCCGCTAGGCCCCATGGGCTCAAAGGTCCTCCAGCATGAGCCATTTCCACCTCCTTTCTCATCTCTCTCACTGGATTTGGAATCTGAATTTTTTTTTTTGTTTTTTTGTGACTTCTGGTTCAAAAGAGAGAACAGTGGTTGAACATCAGACTTGGTCTGACTCTGTCTTCATGCTAAATGCCCATGGAATTGGTTCCCTTCTTTGGGGATTCTGCTTCCCACTGGAAACACAGGAATAAGAATGAACAATAACAACATCAAAATCCAAATGAAAGCTAATAGTTCTTCATGTCCGTGAAGCTCTGGAACGCAGTGACGATGCTATCATGAAGAGGGGTCCTCGGGTGTTGCTAAGTAAGGGGATTAAGTTGTGTCGTACAGGGTCAGGGCAGAGTGGCAAGGGCTCTGTTTAGTACAGTTCCTGGGGGGCAAGGTGAAGGAGCTCTAGGAGGTCCCAGCATGGCAAACATGGCTCCTGCAAGCCTTGCCCTTCCCCCATTCCCTGTTTTTTGGTAAAACCCATCAGATTACATTCCTAAAGCTAGCCACCAAGATCTAGTCCCTTATTTGGCCATTTCCTTCTCCTGAGGCTGACTAGCAAGGTTCAGCTATTAAGTATTGAAGTCCAGCAATCAAAAGTCCGCTTTTGGCGGCTTTAATTAACTTGCCCAAATTAAATAAAATCCCTTATCCTAACGCGGGTTTCCCCTTTACTTTTATCAACTGCCATTTGTAAACCTGCCCCTTTCTCTTTCTCCTTTGTCCTCTGTCTCTGATCTTTGTGTCTTATTGCCTGCCTTTTGTCCCTCTGGGCCAAATAAATCTCCTCTGTGGTGAGAACTTGGTCTTGGGGTGTCTTGTGCTGATACTGGTCCTTTCACGAGGACCCCATGCTCCCAGTGTCACCAGAGAAGAGAGGAGACCCCAATGGCAGTGCCGCTCAGTGTTCATAGCATTTGGATTCCCAATGAAAGGAAACTTCTTGAAAATTTTGTGACCATGCAAGGAGGAGAGTATTTCTGTGTCTCCCATTTCATTGGCTAATGGAGGTCATGTGGCTAGGGATAGATAGGGTAGGGTGGAGAATTGTAATGATATCTGTGACCATTCATTAGTATGTTCCTTTAAAAAAAATATTAGAAACCACCGTACAATTTATAATCCCAGACAGAGATCATTCTAAAACACAAAACCATCACCAGACTTGAGCTGGCTTAAGATTTGACCATACGCGTATTTCAGAACAGGTACTCCTTCTGGAGAAGGAAGGAGAGAGAATATTAGGCAATTGCTGACTGGTGGATTGCCTACAGAACTAGCAGGCAGGAGCGCCCAGCATGAGAATGTGTGAAAGGAATGAGGTTCACACAGGCAGATCTGTGAACAAAAGAGCAGGGCCTTAGGGCAGAGTGTCTTTATCCTGGACTCAGAAGTCAAATTCAGACTTGTGTTTAATATGGAGGATCCCATGTGAGAAAACAAGTTTGGAATGAAAGAAATGTGTTCATATTGGGAGAGATAGGACAAACAAGAATGAGTGTAGACATTGGCTCAGGAACTTGTGCTCTATGGTGGCATGCCTTTCATATCGGATAGTTGGTGAGATTGCCATTATGCAGGCCAATTTAGAAAATTCTGCAAGAGAAAGTGATATTTTTACTAAAACATGATTAGTTGATTGCCTGTGTCATAGCAATGGTAATATTGCTGTTTTAAAGTGTTCTCTTGCTATCTGTTGTCTTGGAGCCAAGGGGTCCTAAAATAGTGGGCGGGTTTAATGCTTTGAATATACTAGTCTCTTCCCCTGCCCCCATAGCCCTGGCTAGCCTGGAACTCACAAGCTGTTGAAGATCACCTTGAACTTTTGATCCTTCTGCTTTTACCTCAGGAGTGCTGGAGTTCCAGGTGTGTTCTACATTGCCCAGCATGCATGCTCCTGAGGATCAAATCCAGGTCTTCTTGAACACTAACTAGGTAAGATAAACTGCGCTATATTCCTAGCCTTGGATATAATACTCTTAAAATAACTTCACAATTCAGGCTAAGATATTAATTCAGAGCACCAAAACATGGGATGAAGGTGTAAAGCATTCAATATATGAGATACATCTTCTTTCTCTTACACACATGCATACACACACAAATACATGCATGCACACACAGATAAACATACATTAACATGTATGTATGTATATATATATATGTACATTAGATTTTCTGTGTAGCTTCCTGGCTATATTTTTACACACTTCTGTTTTATATCATTATTTCTATTTTCAAGACAGGCTTTCTTTGTGTAGCTCTGATATCCTGGAACTTTCTCTGTAGACCAAGTTGGCCCCAAACTCAGAGATCCAGCTTCCTTGGCCTCCCAAATGTTGGGATTAAAGGTGCAGGATAACAACTGCCTGATTCATTTTATATTATTCAACATACTGCTCTTGACATTGCTGTATTTGGAGAATTGGCTATTGTATAATTAAAGATGCAAGGATGAGAGAACCTTCGTTCCTTGAATATGCTATGAATCTTCTGAAATTAGTTCATCACTTTGAAAGGACAAAAATTAGAAGGGCAAAAAGACTTGATATCTTAAGAAAGTTATGCAGCAATATGTAAAGATTTAAAACATATTGGCAAGACAGGTAAACACAAACATGGCCATGGAGAAAGAACAACTCAGTAGATCTGTCTGTCCTGAGGTTGGGGAGATGCCTCGGTGAGTGAGACCGTTCACTACTCCTCAAACAGAAGAACCTGAGTCTGAATGCCTAGAACCCATATAAAAAGCCGGCTGTGTCATCCATTGCTGGTGGGAATGCAAACTTGTGCAACCACTCTGGAAAGCAGTGTGGAGGTTTCTCAGGAAATTTGGGATCAACCTACCCATGGACCCAGCAATACCACTCTTGGGAATATACCCAAGAGAGGCCTTATCACACAACAAAAGTATATGCTCTACTATGTTTATAGCAGCATTGTTTGTAATAGCCA